TTTATTGTACTACGTGAAAATCTGAATCCTTTTTAGACCTTAAAAATTAAGAAATATCTCATCATTAGTTTTTTTTTTTGTATTTTTCCGAAATTCTTGAAGTTTCCTGTTTTCAATTTTTTAAATTCTGGTAAGCTTCTCGTAAATATTTTTTTTTATAATTCTTCTACTTTTTGATCTCCGAAATGTTTTTTATTTTTTATTTTATGTTTTTTTTCTTTATTCTCTAAACTTAGTTAAATTCTTTAACACGGTTTTATATTTTTTAAATATCTTTGTTTAATGCGTTCATATAAATTTTGTTTGGTGTTTATAGTTTCATTGTAATTTGTTATGTTTCTCTTCAAGACGAGTTCGTTTCCGACGTTTTTTATTATTTCGGAAAGTGAACGTAGTAGGTTACCAATTCTTTTTGTACGTCTACTACATATAATATTTTATATCTCATTAATATTTATTTCACAAAGAAAAACATTTGATTGAATGAATTAATGTTTTGATGATTCATAAGATAAACCAAAGCTCTAGGCATCTTTAAGTTTTCTTGAACTGGGAGGTGTATTCAATTAAAAAAAAACTAAAAAAGGACGCCAAGTTCACGCGCTTACCTGTACGAATATAATTGTACAAAAGCTAATGCCTCCATAAAAAACATTTATAAAATATATTTTATTTATAAAATAAATCTAAGAACGTTAATATTAAGTATTAATATGTAAATTTCTATTTTCTACAAAACAAGTGATATCATGAGGTTAGACCAAGTAAAAATAAAATAAAAATAAAAAAGAACAGTCCAAAAGTAAATGTTTTTATAAAAAACTATTTTATTTAAAAAATATAAAAATTCTAAAAACGTTAGAATAAAATATTAATATGTAAACTTTTATTTTTTACAAAAGAAATGATATCATGTAATTAGGCCAAATAAAAAAATATAATTATATAAGTAAATGTTATTATTAAAAATTCGCACAAAAAACACTTAGCGTGCCCCCTAACATACTAAGTTACATTACTGAATTACTCTTTACTGAGTTACATTATTTATTGAACTTGGGCACGCCAAGTGTTTTTTGTGCGAATTTTTAACAATAGCATTTACTATTATATAATTATATTTTTTATTTGGCTTAATTACATGATATCATTTCTTTTGTGGAAAATAAAAGTTTACATATTAATATTTTATTCTAACGTTTTTAGAATTTTTATATTTTTTAAATAAAATATTTTTTTATAAAAACATTTGCTTTTGTACAGTTCTTTTTTATTTTTATTTTATTTTTACTTGGTCTAACCTCATGATATCACTTGTTTTGTAGAAAATAGAAATTTACATATTAATACTTAATGTTAACGTTTTTAAATTTATTTTATAAATAAAATATATTTTATAAATGTTTTTTAGGGAGGCATTAGCTTTTGTACAATTATATTCGTACAGGTAAGCGCGTTAACTTGGCGTCTTTTTTACTTCTTTTTAAAATGTAACTTGGCGTCTTTTTTTACTTTTTTTTTAAAAAGGTAACTTTTGTACGGATGTCACACTTTTTTATAAATCAAATTATACTTACAATTACGTCGTCACTTTCCTGCATACACGCATCATCAAGATTGCAATCCATTTTCCATTAACACAAGAAAACGGTAACACTCAGAAAACGGTTGTAGTATTAGGCCTGTTCGTTTTGTCTGCACTATTGAACTGATGCAATAAGTTAAAGTGGAACAAACATAGGTTTTCTCACCCCAACTAGTTATACCAGTTCAGCAATCCCACTGAGTGCGTCATGCGTTGCATCGTCCGTGTTCGTCAGGAGTTAACCAATCAAATCGTTCCATTAATTTGGATGATGCGACTCAGGACGCGTTTGTCCCAAAGAAACAATTTGATTGGTTAATTCTCGACGTAGACGAACGATGCAACGCATGACGCACTCACAAGCACACCTACCTTTGTGTCAATCGCCGATTTTTATTTTATTTTATTTTATTTTATTATTTTATTTTATTATTTTATTTTATTTATATTTTATTTTATTTAAACTCAGTACACTTGTAGAGTAGTAAAAAATAATGGACGCGTGTTTTTTTATATCGGTAATGGTACAATTTTAAGGGTGAAAACACCCTCTAAAAGATAATTCGACATATTTGGTTTTGAGCGAATATCTTCGAAACCATGAGAGACAAAAAAAATGTTTCAAATAAAAGTTTAATGGTAATTAACGTTCTTAAAGACAGTATAATCAAATTTTGCAATAATTTGATATTTTGCAAAATATCCCCACCACCATCAATTAATTTTGCAAAATTAAAAAATTTTTTAGGATAAAAATTACAGAAAATTTTACGCCAAATTCAACGATGTATAACAAAGTTGGTTTCCGAAATGCCATTTTTGGAAAATAATCCGTAAACAACTCACTATGGTGGTATTTTGCAAAATATCAAATTGTTACAAAATTTGATTATACCATTTTCAAGAACGTTAATTACCATTAAACTTACCTCAAACAATTTTTTATCTTTCACGGTTTCGAAGATATTCACCCAAGACCAAATATAGCGAATTACCTTTCAGGGGATGTATCCCTTAAAAATAAGATTAGGCACGTATAAAAAAATACGTGTCTTTTACAAGTAAATCTACCTTTGTGTCACTCACCGATTTTGTGGGAACTACCTCTTGTATTTACAAGATCGAGTAATTAATTCGTTGCATTTAAGCTCAGGTTATTAGAGATGTTTTTAAAATCTAAGGAAATGATAAGGGATTTTCATGTCGCTGAAAACAAATCTGATGTAAAAATTGTAGAATTAAAAATGACGGATCCAATATGACGACCTGATCAATCAAAACAATTTTATCTCGCTCTTTGCCGAACCCAGGAATAACCGACGAGGAGATAGAATCTATTCCCATTTTGTTTTTTTCGTATTTTTTTTATTTTCTGTTTCTTTTATTCTTTTTTATTCTTTTGTACTTTTTTTTATTGTTTCTATTTTCATTTTTTTCACATGTATTACTAATGTCTTCTATTTCTTTGCAACGACGTCATTTTTCACACCTCGTTTATGTTAATTTCTTTAAATTTGTATTCTTTGCAGAAATGATATTTAAAAAAAACTCTTTTATGCACAAAGAATTTGCACACCAAGCACACTTTATAATTGCAATATTATTGCATAATCCACATTTAGCTTCACAATTTTTGAAACAATAATCTACGGGATTATTAAACTTATGTGGTTTCTCTTGTAAATATACACTTTTGTACTACGAATACTTAAACATATTTATAAACCGAGGAGAAGATAGTTGATTATGAATGAGCGATTGAAGTTTGATAATGTTGTTTCGTAAACGTGCCTAACCAGGCACGCGATAGCCTCGAAGAGCGTTCGTATTCAGAGATGACAGACGGAGGACGTGGCTTACAGCCCACAAATGGAATATAAAGCCCATTTTTAATTCTACAATTTTTACATCAGATTTGTTTTCAGCGACATGAAAATCCCTTATCATTTTCTTAGATTTTAAAAACATCTCTAATAACCTGAGCTTAAATGCAACGAATTAATTACTCGATCTTGTAAATACAAGAGGTAGTTCCCACAAAATCGGTGAGTGACACAAAGGTAGATTTACTTGTAAAAGACACGTATTTTTTTATACGTGCCTAATCTTATTTTTAAGGGGTAAAACATCCCCTGAAAGGTAATTCGCTATATTTGGTCTTGGGTGAATATCTTCGAAACCGTGAAAGATAAAAAATTGTTTGAGGTAAGTTTAATGGTAATTAACGTTCTTGAAAATGATATAATCAAATTTTGTAACAATTTGATATTTTGCAAAATACCACCATAGTGAGTTGTTTACGGATTATTTTCCAAAAATGGCATTTCGGAAACCAACTTTGTTATACATCGTTGAATTTGGCGTAAAATTTTCTGTAATTTTTATCCTAAAAAATTTTTTAATTTTGCAAAATTAATTGATGGTGGTGGGGGTATTTTGCAAAATATCAAATTATTGCAAAATTTGATTATACTGTCTTTAAGAACATTAATTACCATTAAACTTTTATTTGAAACATTTCTTTTGTCTCTCATGGTTTCGAAGATATTCGCTCAAAACCAAATATGTCGAATTATCTTTCAGAGGGTGTTTTCACCCTTAAAATTGCACCATTGCCGATATAAAAAAATACGCGTCCATTATTTCTTACTACTCTACAAGTGTACTGAGTTTAAATAAAATCGGCGATTGACACAAAGGTAGGTTTGCTTGTCAGTGGGAACGCAACACGCGTGCCGTGTGATATCATATGAGCGTTACCTTTTTTTAGGAAAGCCATGTTCTCATCTCATTAGACATCACCTGCCGCGTATCGCGTTAAGGTCGATTCCCATGAGCAGTTAATTCTAAATAAAATCATTCATAATACAAGTTTCAGTAAGAGTCTACTTTATAACTAAAGGAATCAAATATTTGAACGTTTATGTTTTCTTCCGAAATATATGTAGAATTGAAACGATAGCATGCGTATTGTCTGGGTCAAAGTGAATATAAAAAGTAGGAATTGTGTGTGTGTGTGTGTGTGTGGGTGTGTATGTGTGTGTATGTATGTATATGTACACGTCTTTATTGATTCACAGATATTTATAGAAGACTTCTATTCACAAACACTCACGTAACAACTTCTATTTTATTCTATTTTAGTCTATTTTATTTCTTGCCGCTTTAATCTTCTTCTTTATGAATACGAATTGCAAAATTTATGAAATGAATTACACATTGCTAAGACTATAAAATAAATTTATCGAGAAGTTAGGCCAAAGAGGATATTTATAGGATATTTATAGGAAAACATAACAATCAAAATTAATTATGAAAATTATTTTTTCTTTTTAATACAATATTACATACTATCTTCATATTATATTTCATTAATTATATTCCATTAATTATTCCATTGTTTTGTTATATTATTTTATATAGTTTCTAATATTATAAAAATTGCATATATTTTTGCATAAAATTGCATTTTATATTCTTGAATCTGCAACAAACATAAAATATCAAAACACAAAAATGAATGTAAATTGCAAATTCTTAAAAAATAAAATTTGCAATGTTGGAAATATTGAAACGTTATATTTATTTCAATATTTGTATCCGATTATCATACATTGATTATCTTTAATTTGTTATTATTATTTTTAATTATTTTCAATTTTCTACAGGAGTCACTAATTTTGTATTTTTTAAATACCGACGTATAGCATAGAAAACTTGAATTTGATAGGGTCTTCAAACATATTAAGTTTTTAATATTTTCATATTTAATAATGTCAATAAATTGGTTTTAATAACGATTTGAAAAATACTCGCACATATAGTATGTGACGTTTTATTGCTAATCATTCTACAAATTATACCAAACACACTGATATATTATTATACTTAGGATGGTAATGCCTAAAATTTTTGATATCTTTCTTCTACCATATATTTGACCTACCTCTTGTAAGTATCCTTGATACCTATCTCTTATATGCAGGGTGTTTCAAAAATAGATGCCAAACTTTAAGAGCATATTCATTATAAAGATAAAAAGAGGTCGTATAAACACGAGAAACACTTCTTTCCCAAATTATAAACACTTTTTATTAAGCACATCTCCAGCATATTTCAATTGCATTGCTTAAGAGTTTCTGAATGATATATCAATAGATGAATTGGTAGAAGACTCATTGTTTGGCTTGCACGATCTTTCCATTTGTATCTCTTGGGTTTTTATTTACAGAGACATCTTAAGATTCCCGTTCATGAAATTCCTGTTATTATTGTTCCTCGAAATCGTTTCGTGTGACAAAATACAAAATATTCTGGGGATTTTTAAAAGTCTCCGACAATCGATGAGACGTCGATACAAGGCATGCATTGAGATGCGGAAGGAAATCATTTCCAACAATTTCTTTTGAATGAAACTTTTCTTTCTTTTGAATGTTCTTATCAGAGACTGTTGTAAATAAAAAGTGTTTATAATTTGGAAAAGAAGTGTCTTTTTGGACACATGTTTATATGAAACTTTCTTTATCTTTACAATAAATTGAATATGATCTTAAAATTTACACCTATTTATGAAACACTTTATATATGTATAACTAAAATTTAGAAGCAACGATTACAGTTAATTTCATAGTTATATCTATTCATAGTTATACCTGCATGTCTTTGCTGTTATACTCTTCCGCGACATATTCCAAATTTGTCCGGCCTTTGACCTGCCATACATGGATTTATGTTTTTATCGGGAAGATTTATGATAGCAGGTGCCTGCACAAACAAGCTGCTTGTCTCATAACTAGGGGTAGTAGGTCGCACATACGCCATTGCGCATTCGGATATTTCCAGTGATATTGTAATAACCGTTAGCACAATTAACAAGGAAAGATTAAAAAGTGCTTTCATCGTGCCTTGCAAAAATGTGAATACACTTTTCGTAACCTAAACATTAAAAAATCACACAAAATATGATTTATTCACTTTTTCATGTATTTTTTTGTTTTCGTATAAGTTTTTTCTATTCAATTTTTTGGATTATAATTTTTTATAATTTATAATTTTTTTTATAACTTATAATTTTTTTCTTTACAGCTTTTTATTTCTCAACTTTCCCAAATGTGACTACAATTTTTCTGTAGTCTTCTTTAATGCCCTCTCTTCACATTATTTTATGAACTTACCACAATTTCTTCTATTTTTTTACTACCAGGCTTCTATCGTTTCGAGAAATGAACATATATAGTCAGTTCTCTATTGCGCGACTTCTATTTATAATCCCTGTGTTCTTCTCATTATACAAACTTCATTACCATCATATGGAAAGAACCGGTTATGAATTAGCATGTCCCCTATTATACAGATGAGGAAATACGACATGGACACACACGAAGGTTAACCATATGATTACGACTGTGCCGCTTATATTTCGGGATGGTTGAAACATTCTATCCTCAGTTTTACATGAACGCAGTTTCAAAGGACAATTATATCAACTTAATGTTGATAAATATTTTTAGAGTTATAAATAAGAATAAAAAATAAAGTTATAGAATTACATATAGATTTAAACTGATAGGTTCAATTAGTTCAGTTAGAAAAATTGGGAACCAGAATAATCATTTTATTGAGTCTAGTGCAACTTTTGACATCCTTATTTTTGCTCATTGCTTCAATTATTTGCTTACGCTTCGACTTGTTGCATAATTTATTCAACATGATATATGTCCAATACTGATTACAGTGAAGCGGTTGGTAAAACGGAATTTGTAACATTTTTGCTGCATCGGCAGATAAATATACATATAACAGATGCTAGCTATAAAATAAAAGTGCAGATGTATTATTTTTCCATGATGATAAACATCGAGAACTAATTTCAATCGAGAATGAGTATTTTAAACTTTTTAGCTAGAAACGACTTTGGCATAGGATGAACTGGAAGTAAAGGCTTGGAAAGGGAAACATCGTATAAACAACGTTGTGAGAGAGTAATGAAGCGTGATTCATTCCATCTAGGATCTCGTCTAACCGCATTTGTTTTTAAGTCTGGTATTCGCGCCTTTTAGCATTCCACAATAGAAACGCGCTGGCGCGTTATTAAAAAGTATGATATTATTTTTTGTGGTATAACTTTTCATATGCATAATGGTAAACTGGCAAAAATATATACAAAGCTTTGTTGAATGTTCAATTTTAACTTGAAATTCTTTAAGGAATTAAGTCAATTTTTTTTTAAGTTCATTCAAGCGTCGCTATCGACTGATTTATCTTATAATTTATCTTATTGTTTATTATATTCATGAATAATTTGTAATGTAATTTAAATACAAATGTATTGTGTATTTAAGACCGAGATTAATTGTTTAATTTATTGGCGTTTCGTCGATGTACAGAATACTTCCGTCATTTCGTGGTATCCGTGGCGAATTTGAAGTTTCGTCTCGCATTTAGTTTTCAACTGAAACTGCTGAAATGTTGATATCTTTGAGCCAGTAAACATACATAAAATATGCATGTCGTATTCCCAAAAGAAATCCGTCACTAGCCGAATGTAATTTTCCGAGAGGCATTTTTGATAGAACATGAAAAAAATGTTTTTAGCAGATGTATGCTTCGTGTAAAATAAATAAGATTATATTTAATTATAAACTCAACGTGACTTATTATCAAATATATAATCATAAAAATGTTAATTAATATTAAATCGAATATTTACGCACAAACTTCGTTCCCGTAGCGATTTTATGAAACTATTTAATCTCATCATTTGGAATTTTTGTTCTATAGGATTATATTACTTATTATGATTATATATTCAGAAAAAGGAAGAATGAGGAAAAAATATGGAAATCCTGGAAAATCTCGAAAAATATAAGTTTTACAGAAGTGTTTCAGATAAAAGTTGTAATAAAAAGTATGATAAAAAACATTTAAAAAATTCCATCTGACCTTGGCCTGATTTTAGCAACCAATCCAAAGTTAAACTGATGAAGTCAATAAATAGATCTTTTTAAATGCTACAACTTTTATCCGAAACACTTTTCTATAAAACTTATATTTTTCGGAATTTTTCGGGGTTTCCATACTTTTCCCTCATCCTATATATTTTTTAAAACTGCTGACGCTATCTGTTAGTTATCTCATGTGCTGGCGACACTTTGCTTTAGGATTCAGGTTGAAACCTTCGGGACACGATTGTACGTTTGTTATTATAGGCAATTTTACAATATTGTTTTGGAGAAATTGATTGTTCATTGAGATATGAGATTTGAGATATCGAGATATGAGTTGATCCAATATGAGATATTTGCTCTTATCTCTTCGACAAGATTTCGGTGATACTAAATTGAGTATCATTATCGCTAGTAGAATACCAGCAAAAAACTTCACCTTGCAGCAATATCGAAGAAGAGCGACACAAATATTATTTATAAATCGAATTGAAGTTCGATTTATTTTTCTGTTTTCAACTTTATATCTCTTCCACAGAATTCTTTCTTCGTAATTACTTTAATTACCGATACATCTAAAAACCTCACATATTATTTATTTCACTCACACACGCACACACACACACACACTCACACACACATATACACACATACACACATACTGATGTACATTAGATTTCTTACATTAGCTATTACAGCGAGCGTTTTACCGTTTTCATATCGCGTGTTTCCTACTTATAGCATAGACATGCGTCCTGATGACGCAATCTACTGCTTTGTGAAGTAAATACGTATCACAGATATACATTGTAACGCGACGTTATTTTCCGCGATGAAAGTTGAACGCGTGATAACTATCAACAGCATGAGTAAGACGATTCGTACCTGTAATAAATGGTCAAAATTTAAATAAATTATTTTTCTACACGGTTTATTATGCACGCTGTCTAGAAAAAAATATTATAAGTTTAATGAGAAGAAGTAACTGTAAATTACCTCATAAATGAACAATTATTAGACAGACTCGCCTATCGCAAGCATTTGTCAGTTTTGCACATTCACTTTGTCGTGTGCGGAATGTTGTTCTACCGAGTCACGTTTCCAGCTAACATCGATCTCATAATCAAAGGGGCTTTAAAAATAACATTAAGCCTAGATCGATATAAAACGGTCTCCTGTCGGTAAATATAGAAGAAGATATTTGCACTCGAACCAGAAGAACGATGAAAAGATAAAGATGATACAAGCTTATACCTTTACTGCGTATTTAATTTCGTTATATGGAAATTTATATATTTTCCGTGAAAAACTACTCTGACCAATGGATTACAAGTATTTTTTTTATCCGCTATACATATATGCGCGTGTAATAATTAACACGTTCGTTATGACTCTTTATCCTCCGCCATATAGTTTTATTAATGTAATTATGTAAAACTTATTTCATTCATGTGAACATAAAGACGGAAATTATCACTGATACACGTTGTGACGCTGACAATAAATCCGTCAATACTTTATTATTCGTGAACGGATAGTGTGTGTTTTAAATTGCACAGGAAAGTCTTTATTCATATTGCGATTGTTTTACAATAACTATCAAAGAATTAATTAATGGATTAATCAATAGATAAATGTACAGCAAGGCAATAAAAAGAGCTCATGTGTAAACATGGTTGGAAAAACGTGTCACGGATTCTCTCCAACAAAAGTTACTATTATTTCTATTATTTGAGTATGTATAAATCATTGCATATTTTATTATTTTATTATATATGCAAATAATTGATAATGTAATTTAAATATACACGTTTATGTTGTGGTTGGGATTAATAACGTGAATTTATTGAAGCTTTGTTGGTAAAATATTCTGTAGTTGCCGCTATGACGGTATTTTGGAGTTCCGCATTTTTTTATCTGATAATGCTAAAACACTGATATCTTCGAGCCTGTAAGCAGACATAAAATATACACATTCGTCGCATTTTCAGATGAAATCCTTTGTAAGAGAAAATATAATTTTTTGAGAAGCACATCCTGTACACAGAACTCGAAAAAAATCAATATGAGATAGGATTATATTTAATCATAAATCTATCATAGAGAGTTTGGGATCAATCGCTATCTATCTTTTTTGCAATAGTCTATCTTTTTGCAATAAATCTACGTTGCCTGAAAGTAGCATGGATTCGATGTAATGAAAGTACGGGGTTTATTAATTATTGCCAGAGTAAGCTTACTTAAATATGTAACATTTAAGCCTATCGAGCCAACATCATTAACATTAACAATAGTTAATTAATTATTATGTTCCTAAATTACTTGAAGAAGAGAATATATAAATAGATATATAATCGTGAAATTATCGCATTAATAAAATATTTACGTACTTATAATTACATACAAATATAATTTTTATGGGACTTGTTGCTAAATTGCATACTGCTTCAGCAATTTCATGAAACGCAAACGCGCATTATTTATTCCCGTTCCTTGAAATGTTTCTGCTCGTTGAGATTATATTATTTATTAAAATGATATATGTTCTTTTAAAGTTAAAAATATTAACTGTCAACTATCTCACACGCTGGCGACACAGTCCCTTAGGATTCAGTTTATAATTTTCGGCACATGACTTTACAGTTGTTATGATAATTCACAAGTTCGCAAGTTCACAAAATTGTGTTGGTGGAATTTTAGAACGTCTAATATAAGATCGTCTTTATCTTGCTGACAAGATTTCGGTAGTACTAAATTTAGTATCATTATCACTTGCAGAATGTCGACAAAAAACTTCATCTTAACACAATACAAAATATCAAATCTTTTTTCCACAGTTTTTCCTACATCAAATCAAATTTTTAGATCGACTTTTTTCTTCTTAATTATTTTAATCACTGCTACATTTACAAACCTCACGTATTATTTATGTCACTTTTGCTCGTTGCATTTATTAACTCATCTACAGCAAGAAACGTTTTGTCGTTTTCCTCTTCCGTCTTTTCTACTTATATCATTCCCCCTAATGTAATTTAATGCATTATGAAATGGATATTGAAGATTGAAATTAGAAGGCGGATTATTTGTCGCAATTGAAAGTTTCACGCGTAAATAGAATAACGTATATTTAATATAAAATGTAAATGACTTATTTTCTCACACAGTTTATCATACATGATATCTAGATAAAAAGTCGTATGCGAGACAAAAAAATTATAAATTACCTAATAAATTAAATAGTAATAGATAGAAGTAGAATTAAAAAACATCTTGGATTTTTTTCTAGTAAGATAACGTGGGAATAAATTATATAA